AAACCGAAAAAAAAAAAAAAAAACTTTATAGACATTTTTTCAAGTTTAAACAAAAATAAAAATGAAAAAAATTATTGCACAACGAAATATTATTATTATTATTATGCCTTTGAATGACATAATAGTATGTCTTGGCATAAACAATAGCAAATGTGTTGTGCATTTCAGGGGAAAGATGATGTCTACTTGTGTATTAGAGATGCAGACAGAGTTGAAATCAAGGCTGCATATGTTTCTGGACGGACTCACCCAGAATACTCTTCACAGGTATAATTGTATTGATTGGACAGTGAAAATAGCAAACAGTATACAGTGGTTTAAAGTTAAATAACTCGACCTAATGTCATTCGAAATCCATATGACTTAGTAAACACAAAAGATGATTTGCAGAATGTCCATGCTGTTCTTTTTCAAACACTGAAAATAATTATTGACATCCAAGATTTTTGATTAATAACGCAATAAATTTACTGCTGCTTCTCACACAAAGCTATGGCTTTAGAACACTTGGAAAATAAGATGTATTGCTTTTCTATCAGTTTTTAAGATTAGACTGGTACCCTTTTACTTTTGCACTTTTTTTGTTCAGTTGAAGAAAGAAAGAATGGTTTCGGAACAATCTAAAACAATTAATACAAAAAAACAAGGCATTATTCAAATAAATTCACTTTGAAGTCTTTGTGCTCATATTAATTTCTAGAACATTTTGAAAGACACAGCATGGAGGCTATCAGATGGAGTGATTCAGTGTAGCTTCCGCAGGGACATAATCCTCCCACCTGAGAATCTGTACAGGTTCAGTCTGGACCAGATGTACTACCTCTTTATGGCTCATGGTCGAGCTGAAGTTGGTGAGATATTGCTTTTTTGTTTCTTTGTTGTTGTTTGTTTTCATTGGCAATTAGTATCAAAAGACTCGTTTCTCTTTCTCCAGGGCGAACCCATCGACATGACCGCCAGCCTCTGATTTCAACCTATCAGACAGCCATAACGGGACCTCCTGAGGATCTAACTGGTTCTCGATCACCCCTGCTCATGAAATATCATGGTGAGGCCAAATAATAAAACTATATACTGAATGTGATTTATAATATGCTATTTAGTGAGCTATACAGTGCATTTGAATGCTGAATTAAATGTATGAAATGATTTTC